AAGGAAGGATAAAGTGGGGGGGGATCTCGCTCCCCAACTTCAAGCTCTACTACAAAGCCACAGTAATCAAGACAGTTTGGTACTGGCACAAGTACAGAGCCACAGACCAATGGAACATAATAGAGACTCCAGATATACACCCAAGTATATATGGTCAATTAATATACGATAAAGGAGCTATGGATATACAATAGGGAAATGACGGCCTCTTCAACAGCTGGTGTTGGCAAAACTGGATAGCTACATGTAAGAGAATGAAACTGGATTACTGTCTAACCCCATACACAGAAGTAAACTCAAAATGGATCAAATACCTGAATGTAAGTCATGAAACCAGAAAACCCTTAGAAAAAAATATAGGCAAAAATCTCTTGGACATAAACATGAGCAATTTCTTCATGAATATATCTCCAGGCAAGGGTAACAGAAGCAAAAATGAACAAGTGGGACTATATCAATCTAAAAAGCTTCTGTACAGCAAAGGATACCGTCAGTAGAAGAAAAAGACATCCCACAGTATTGGAGAATATATTCATAAATGACATATCCAAATTATATAAAGAGCTCACACACCTCAACAAACAAAAACAAATAAGCCAATTAAAAAATGGGCAGAGGAGCTGAACAGACAGTTCTCCAAAGAAGAAATTCAGATAGCCAACAGACACATCACAGATGAAAAGATGCTCCACATGGCTAGTTATCAGAGAAATGCAAATTAAAACCACTGTGAGGTATCACCTTACTCCAGTTAGGATGGCCAACATCCAAAAGACAAACAACAAATGTTGGTGAGGATGTGGAGAAAGGGGAACCCTTCTACACTGCTGGTTCTAATGTAAACTAGTTCAACCATTGTGGAAAGCAGTATGGAAGTTCCTCAAAAAACTCAAAATAGAAATACCATTTGACATAGGAATTCCACTCCTAGGAATTTACCCTAAGAATGCAGCAGCCCAGTTTGAAAAAGACAGATGCACCCCTATGTTTATTGCATCACTATTTACAATAGCCAAGAAATGGAAGCAACCTAAGTGTCCATTAGTAGATGAATGGATAAAGAAGTGTCCACTAGTAGATGAATGGAATATTATTCAGCCATAAGAAGGAAACAAATCCTACCATTTGCAACAACATGGATGGAGCTAGAGGGTATTATGCTCAGTGAAATAAGCCAGGCGGATAAAGACAAGTACCAAATTATTTCACTCATCTGTGAAGTATAAGAACAAAGCAAAAACGGAAGGAACAAAACAGCAGCAGGCTCACAGAACCCAAGAATGGACTAACAGTTACCAAAGGGAAAGGGACTGGGGAGGATGGGTGGGAAGGGAGGGATAAGGGGGAAAACGGGGCATTACGATTAGCACACATAATGTAGCGGGGGTAGGGGGCACAGGAAAGGCAGTATATATAGAGGAGATAAGTAATGACTCTATAGCATCTTACTATGCTAATGGACAGTGACTGTAATGGGGTATGTGGGGGGATTTGATAATAGGGGGAGTCTAGTAACTATAATGTTCAAGTAATTGTAAATTAACGATATCAATATAAAAAAATTTTTTTAAAGAAGGAAATCCTACCATTTACAATATCATGGATGGACCTGGAAAACTATGAATTTTTAAAGCCATTTAAAAAGTAAAAGTGAATATTATCTATACCTCTGCATTTTTATTTACCAAGAGTCATTTTTCCTTTTAAACATCCTTTTATCTAAGTAACAATTGCTTTGACTGAAGCAAAAACTAAAGTGTTAATCTGTGCATTTCAAGGTTCTCTAATTTAACTGGGTGACAAATGATGGCATTATCTAGTTCTTATTTCTTAAAAGGCATTTAATAGCTCAGTGGCACAACCAGACACATCTTACTGTGACATTGCTTCATTTGATTCAATCATCATTTTTTCTTTACAATATCTGTCTTTTCTAGATGATGTCTAGGGATTTCTGGGATACAAAATTCAGGGCTAAAAATGCTCATATGCTGTCTGAGAATCCAGGGAGCTCCAGAACCTGAACCTGGATGGGGCAGGTTTCAGATTCAGGCACTGGGCCTGGGGAATCCAAAGTAAAGGCTGGGTTGAGCTGCAACTAGGGATGGGGAGAGGGTGACCTGCAGTCACTGCAGCACCTCTTACCTGCTTGTGGTACTCTCACAATGACCATCTGAAGGGCAGACACCAAAGACCAGCCTAGCTGGGCTCACATGTGGTTCTGAGTAAAGAGCCAGAGATGCCATATCACCGTGGAAAACATTGTGCCTGGAAATAAGTCAGTCACAGAAGAACAAATATTGCATGATTCCCCGTTTATGAACTATCTAGAACAAACTCATAGATGCATAGAATAGATTGGTGGTTGCCAGAGGATGAGGGAGGGGAAAATGGGAAGTTTTTTGATGTTTATAAAGATACAGGTATATACAAGAAGCATAAGTTCTAGAGAACTGCTGGACAACATAGAGCCCATAGTTAACAGTAGGGTGTTGTGCATTTAAAAACTTGTAAAAAAATTAGATCTCATGCTATGTGTTCTTACCACCAATATATATATATATACACACACACACATATACATATATATGAAATAAATAAAAATGGGAAACAAGAAATATTTTGGTGGTAATAGATTGTGTTTATTACCTTGTTTATGGTGATGTTATTACAGGTGCATGCATAAACTCAGTAAAATGTATACATTAAATATATTCAACTTTTTGTATATTTGGTTTGTCTCAATAAAATTGAGAAAAAACAGCAAATAAAAAAGATGAACACAAAGCAAAATTGAAACTATCAAATGCTAAGAAAGATGTGGAGCAACCAGAATTTTTATTCACTGCTAGTGGGTTGTAAATTGGTAAACCAAAGAACTATTTGGCAGTGTCTACTAATACTGAATATATGCGTATCATGTGGCACAGTAATACTATTTCCAGTTATATAACAAAATCAAATGTGTAACTACATGCATCAACATACAGGCCCAGGAATATTCATAGTGGTGTCATTTGTATTATTCAAACTTTAAAGAACCTAATGTCAAGCAATATTAGAATACATAAAGAAATTCTGGTATTATATGCAAAAATGAAAATGAATAAACACTACTACATTGATATGGGTCAATATTACAAATAGATTATTGAGTGAAAAGAGCTGCACAAGTGTACATAACATAGTTTGTCCATTCATTAGTTTTCAAAGGCAAACAAAACTAATTTTGGTGGTAAAATACACAATAGTGGTTATTTGCATGTAGGAGTGCAACTAGGACTAAGAATGACAAGAGATTCAAATACTGCTTGTAAATAATTAAAATCTTGGTTCAGGAGCTGGTTACACAAGTTCATTTGCTTTGTTACGAAGATAAACATTTATGATTATCACACTTCTTACATGCATTATCCTCTGAAAATTTTTCACATCCATCAAATCAAATAATTTTTTAACTTGTATTTTATCAATTTTGGTGAGGGTGCAGGAAAGGGTTGCTCATATTTTAGTGGTAGGAATGTAAGCTTAACAGCCACTTAGAGGAGCAAATGTTAGGAATCTACTACTAAGATTTAAAATGTGCATCCTGTAGCCAGCACATTGACTTATTGGTATCTCTGACCTAGAAAGCACTTGGATATATGTACAAAAGGGCATATACATTTATGTTGAAGGTAGCAATTCTTATAAGAGAAAAACAGGAAAGAAATAAGCTAAGTTTCCAAAAGTAGGGAAATCATAAATTGCATTTATTGGTTCTGAGGACTATCATGCAGTATTTTAAAACAATGAGGTAGACTGATATATAAATATGGAAAGATCTCAACGATATAATGTTGATTGCAAAAAAAACCCTACGAGTGTAAATAATAGAAACTAGGAGTCATCAGGATGGGTTTCTAATTAGTGCCTGAAAAGGATTTTAGCCTAAGGTGTAATGTTTACATTTATGGCTATGTGTAACTTAAAATTAATAATAGCACTGAGAATGTCTTTGGAAGAGTATCCAAGAAGCCAGCAAAAACTCCCTGCTTCCGAAAAGCAAACTGAGTGCCTACGGAACTGCAAACGGAATTAATTTTCACGGTATAATCCTCCACACCTGTAAACATGAGAACAGTATAACTGCAGCATCCATTGGTAAAAAGTTTAATTAAAATTTAAAGGTTTTTGAATAGAAACTAAAAGATGCCACTCTCATGGGAAAAATATACAAATATAATTGTGACTACTATTAAGATCCAAGTGTTACGCAATAGGAGCGCAGAGAAAGGGTCACCTAAATAGGTCTAAGGGATTTTAAGAGAATTCAAAGGGGAGATGATGTTTGAACAGAGAAATGGAGTGTCCTACTTTTTAATTCCTACAGAGCTCAGTGCGAGGTGCCTATGGGCCTTGAAATCCAGTCCCATGATTATTTTCCACGACCTGGAGCCTATATCCCTAGCCAAAGACTGAAGGAAGGCGGAAGAAGCAGAATAAACAGTGAGGGGCAAGCAGCCGGTTAATTAGCTGGAGTGGTACAAAGGTCGAGCAAGTGCAACCAGCTCCGTGCTCTCTAACCCAGAGCTCCAGATTCCCACTCTCTCCCCGGGCAGACCAGCCCGCCCTCTCTCCAGCTCTTGCGTTGCTTACTGGGCAGTAGATGATTGACAGATCCACTCACCAATCGCTAGCTCTGTTATGTGAGCACTCAGGTCCCAGCCCAGTCTTTGGTCCCTCGGGCGAAATGCGGCCTCTGTGCGTCGACGTCAGCGTGCTGACGTCAGAGCCCGGGTGCTCGAGGAGGTCCGGGGTGGCTGCCTGCGGGCGGTGGACAGCACGTCGCCTACCTCGCTCGGTCCCGGTCCCGCCCCGCCAAGCCCCGCCCCTCCGCCCTCTCGGGCTTCTGCTGGCGCGACCACGAAGCTGCTGTGCCCCGCCAGCCTGGGGCGGAACCACCCGGTGAGGTAGGCTGGGTTTCTCGTCACCCTATTTGACAGATTGGAAAACTGAGTCACCCGGGGGCAGATGACTTGCCCAGGGCTCACTGGAGACCCACCCATGGAGGCCCAGAGCCCAAGGGTCGGGTTCTGTATGGGAGCCCTGCGCCGCTCTCCGGAGAGGAGGAGGGCCTGGTAGGCTGTGTTTATAATAAAGGATACAAGAGAGAAGTTGCAGAACGCCGAGACCCGCTTCATTTCAGGGCGGGGCCAAGATGCTGGGGATGGATGCAGGTAATGAGGTCTCCATTCCTTCTCCCTGCGGACCCCGAGGAGTCCTCGGTGGGGTCCAGCCGCCTGCTGGCTCCGTGGGTCCTCCAGAGTGACCAAGAGTGGTGGTGATGGGGGTGATACTTGGATTATATAGACCAGGCCAGTTACTGGCCACTTTTATTCATCAAGAAAAGCTATGTTCAAAACAAAACAAAATAGAAAACTTAAATCACCAGTCATGAATGCTCTGGCTTTCGTTTCAGTTTATTGCTTTGTGCAATCATGGCCATATTTTGAAATCTCAGTAGCATGCTTACTTTTGGTTTAGGATTAGAAAGGGATTTTTTGTTCTCTTTTATTTCAAGCATAGGTTAACATTGTGGAACTTTTATTCCTGGAATGTGCCATTTGTTCACCATATCATTTGTCTTTTATTTCACAGATAGAATCACTGAATTTATCATTTGACTCAGTATAGTTTGGATAAGTTTAGCAAGGTGACAGAGTAACAGGTTTGACCTCTCAAATGTAGAAGAATTAGTTCAGGTCAGAATGCTTTGTTGAGAAGGTTCTGAAAAATAATTCCCATCTATACACTGTCCACCCATTCACACCCTTTCTAGAAGCAGGATCTCACAAAACAAAATTTATGGTACCATTGTTTTATTAATGGATTCTGATAAGGTGGGGCATAATCCATGCTTGTGAAGTGGAAATGTGTACTGTACAAAATACATGTACAGATGTAGTATTTTGTATTGTGAAGAATGCATTCTCTTTAAATCTTGCTTCAAATATTGACTTTTTAATACTGCATTATTGCATAGAACCTGCATTAAGGAAATTAAATTAAAGACGCTTCAGGGAACTTTTCCTTATGTTTATGAAAGGATGGTAATTATTATCATTTAAGTTTATTCTTTGGGCATGTTTATCTGCTGCCTCATCTGTTTGTTTTAGGTGTTGGAGATGAAGTGTTGAAAAATGTAGATAAATTTCCTGCCCTCAAAAACCTATTTTGGTGGAGATAATAAACATGTAAATGAATGACAATTTTAGATAAAAAAGCATGCTAGAAAAAATATTACAGGATAATGGACTTCACTGGGATGTGGTTGTGGGGGTGGGGGGCTAGATTCAGTGATCAGGGAAGACTTCCTTGAGGAAGTGACCGCTCAGGTGAGAACTGAATGTTTAGACTGAGTCTGACATGGGCCCATCAGCTGGAGGTTTCCAGGCAATCATAACAATGTAAAGGAGTGAAAGGAAAAATGAGGTTGGCAAGTTCCAGGACTGTGTGGCTGGAGTGGAGTGAACCTAGGTGAAAGTGAGGCTAGGGGACAGTGGTAAGAGATCACACTTAAGGTAGGCAAGAGTGCGATTGTTTGAACTCGGTGTAAGACTTAGAGACAGGCAAAAGAAATAGGATTTATATTGCCGAAGCCTTTGTTTTCTTCAGTGACACTCATAGACTTTAACCAGCTCTTTGCTTTATTTTGGTTATGAAATCATTGCAGTATTACATTACATTTTTCACCAGTGGCCCACTTCCTTAAAGAAAAAAACATCTTCCCTCACGCACTGCGTCCTACACTGTTTCTTTCCTCTTCATTGTTATTATGTGCCAGACTTTAAGTCTTTGCTTATCTTCAACTCCCTGCTTTAATCCTTCCTACTCCCAACCATGTGTCTTCTCCACCATTATGTTTATGTGCTGGCCCTTTGGGGAGGACTGGTAGTTAATATCTGCTCTTTTCCAAGATGAGTTCTAGGAAACCATATTGTCTAGTGGTTGCCATTTTCCATTAGAACTTTTATTACTGGCCAGAGACTTAATGGCTGCCTTTATTTAGTGCCTACATAAAATATGCACTTAAATTCATTCTAATCCTTCCAACATAATTCAAAGGTAAATATTGTCCCTTTCTGGTCAAAAAAGGAAACTTACACTTAAGGCTCCCCAGCTCATCCTGAGAGAGACTGGATTTGAACGTCCCAGTTAGCCGGCCCCCAAAGCCTAATCTGTACTAATGCATCTTCTGCTTCCCTGAGATGTAGTCACAGCTACAAGTCTTTGTTGTTGAAATTTTATTTTATGAAATAGGGTTTTAGAGATCATGATTCTGTCCTCTCAGTGTCAAGGTAGGGCTGTGGAGGCCCTTAAATGTTGAGTGATTCTTTTAAAGACATAATTGGCACCAAATTCTCACCCTGTTGATTCTCAGCCTAGTACTCTTTCTGCTATACTTCTTGCCAGAAAGTTCCCTCATGGGTTTCTGTATATATAAAAATATTTCAACATTATGAATTTACTATCCATAAACTCATGTAAAGTAATTTTAAAAAGATGAAACAGTGATGTTTCTTAGGCCAAAATAATCCTTTGCTTTATTTTCCTCCCCTTTTCTCAGCAGTAAGCAGGTGCAATCTTTCTGGATGAATCTTTGGTTTCTGTTAGTAGTAAGAAAGAAGTTACAAAATAACTTTAAATTTCACAAATCTTTGAAAGGGAAGTTTAAATTGTGTTACCGTTTTCCCAGCTTTAACCTTAATGATTCAAATGGAAATAATTGCCTAAGGTTTGCTGGCTCATAGTTTCCGTTAATCAATAGAGTTTCCTCCTACACTTAAGGAAGCCCTTGGATCAGCTTAGGGATAGAAGTTATCTTTCTTTGTAATATATTATCATTTAAAAAAATATGTAAAAATATTTTTCACAATCAGTAAAATATGGCTGAAAATGGATTACTATGTACTTACAGTTTTAAAATATCCATTATTTATTTCTGAGGTTTGCTTATTTTATTAATTATGATTAGGATATAGATGAACAATAGTAAACTAATAAGTAGCTTAATTTGCTTTCTGATAGCTTTTTTACTCTCCTGTAACTTAGTGGAGATCATCTTTTTCATTAGTCAAATTGGAAAGATGTTAATGGAATTAGCACCTTCTTTCTGAAATGTTGCAAGATAATTAAATTTAGGCAAAAGAAAGCTTTTGCTCTTTAAGTCATCTACTAGATATTTTGACCAAGTATCTCTGACCTTTAAGACAGTATATGCAACTGATGTCCATGTTCTGATGATCCAGGCTGTCATGATTTGGCCTCAAATTATAGTGCCATCCTTTTACCCTGAATCTAGTGCTCCAAACTGGACTTCTGGCCTTTCCAACTTTAGTGCCATCTGTGTGTTCTGCCTATAACCTAGAATGTCTTCTAGATGGACATTTCTAGCCAAACTTCTACTTGTTCCTCTGTATCCATCTATGCTGCTTCCTCAACAAGGTACTTCTTGTGTCTCTTTAATGGAAGTCTTCTCTTGGACAACACTTTTGGGACTTGTCTGTGACACAGTTTACCCATCTTGGTATCTTTGGTAATGAACTCTTGTATGTGGTTGTTCAGATGTAGGTTGGCTTGAGCTTAGAGGAGACTTAACAATTCATGTTATTCATGCAGAGTTTTTTGTAGATTGTAGAGCCCATTAGTTTTATTTACACTTTTATTACATCATCTTTGAGAGAAGTACTGTGATGCTTTTCTTGCTTTGATTCAACAGAACCTCCTTCCTGTTTCAGTGAGGGTCTTACTTCTACAGTTAATCAACTGGTCCCTTGAGAGGAATTCAGATTTTTGGGTAAATGTTGAAGGCACATTGTTCCAAATAAAAATCAATGTTCTCTGTGTTTATGGTGTTGGAGAAAAGAAACAGCAACTCTGCTTTTTAATATTAAAGCTGAGAACACTGAGACCCAGAAAGAGTAGCCAGGGCTCCCCAACAGTGCTGAACTGAGAAGCCTGGTCAGTGCTTGTGGCTCATGGCATCAGGGCTATTGCGGGTTGTCATTAGTTCCTATGTCCTGCATCAGAACTCCAGCAGCCCCTTATGAGCCCAGGCCTTTCTGGACTATTTCATTTGCTTTGTTTATGACTTGACATGGATCTGGAAGGTACTTCTTGTAGTGACTCAAATTCAAAGCAGGGTCTCTCTCCAAGGGTCCCTGACTGACTGACTGAAGCCTGCAGGATTTTCCCCGTGCAGACCTTGAGAGACTATTGGGTTTGGTAGGCTCTTTAGTTTAAACCCTTCTGTTCTACCTCTCCTCTCATCACAGTTTTCCAAAAAATGTCTTGGAACTGGTGGGTATCCTCAGGGTATTAAACTTGGAGTTTGCAGGAATTTGGCCTGGTACCTTCTAAGTTAGAGTAATATCCAGTTTTCATGTCCCATATTTTCCAGGACAGTATATTCTTCAAGTATTATACATTATTGTTTACCAACATATGTTCTTGTTTGCTTAGAATTATTCTTTTTAAATTAGTCACTAGCCTATTGAACTAATGGAAATTTCAAGTACATTTTCCTATTTGAATGGTAATTAAATTAATCAAAGGTAACATAAGGTGCTGCTGAGCTACTAGAAGTTTCTCCTGCTGAAGTGGGAATACAAGCCAGGACTTACTTAAGTCTTCATTGGTAATAACTTGCATCTTGAGTAAAGTTACATGCTGGCATGCAGTAGTACTGGATGAGGAACCAGGCAGTGCCCCTGTGAACCTTGGCCTAATGCTGCCAGCCCATACTGGGCCTCAGCAATTAGGGATCCAAAGACCCAAGTAAACTAGGAGATAAAACAGATGTCAACAGGGAACAGGCAAGGCTGGAATTAAGTCAGGTGGCTGGGTGACAAAAAGTATTGCCAGAATTACCTATTTTTCAAGAAAAGCTGGAAATCTGGATTTCATTTGTATGCAAAAATCTCATATTTAATATTGGCAATTAATTCAATGCTTAACATACATTGCATAAGCCAGCAAACACCCTTACCTGTATATGAACAAGATTTGGTGCCAGGCCATCATTTGCAGTCTTTTTTATGTAGAATTCGCAGCTATGTGACACTGTAGAGAAGAGTACCGTCACTTGATGGGGGAAATGAGGTAGAATCTGTGTGGAAGGCAAAATTTCCCTTCTTTGAAGTCTCTGGAAATGAGGATGGGTGGGAATGGGGATTCT